ATCTTTCCCTCTCACTTAGTCTCCCTATAGTCTTTGGCTTAGATAATAGAAAATTGCACAGTTCTGCAGTTTAGAATCCATTTCTTATATAAGCCATAACCCACATCTATTCCTTCAACAAACCCTATTGGTGCTATCTGGCAACATGTACTGTCAAACCACTTCTTGCTAACTTCATTGATATTCCATGGTCTAAGGCCACCATCACCTACATTTTGAGATGACCAACCAACTAGTCTCCTTTTATATTTGCATTTGATGTAGTCTAAATGCAGTTAAGTGATGCTTTTAAAATATGTCAGATTGTAATTTTTTTCTGAAACTCTACAATAGTACTAATAGAAAAATTCTTATGTTGCCTATATACAGCCTGGGTCATTGCTTCCCTATATGATGTCATCTCCAGTATTCTCAACTTCTCTCACTCCATGCTAGCAGCACATTACTTACTATTTCCTGAATCTTCTAGGCATGCAAGCATTTCAACATCTGTAATTACTGTTTCTCCAACTGTATTTTTCAACTCTTTCAGTTCTTTAATGTCAATGTCTCAGAGAAATACTTTGTGAAGATTTATATTTAACTAATTATGAATATTTTCACACATATACTATAGCAGAGAAGACAGTTTTATGGATCCATGAACATACATTCTAGGGATCAAAATCATCACATCAAAGTCAATCTTATTTAATCTGCATCCCCTTCTATTTCCCTGCGTGGCACCATAGACTATTTTCAAGAATGTGCCAGATACTCTGTCATTTCATCCATAAATATGATTATCCATAAATATGATTATACTATTTAAAGAAATAACAGTGCACCTTAGGTAACACCCATTGCCTTTACTTAATTTTTCTCCGTATCACTTATTATTATCAAATGATCTTTAGCAGTCCTTATTTTTAATCTCCATTAGAATGTAGGCTATGAGAAGTTAGATATGTTTTAGTCACTGCTTTATCTACAACAATGTACTGACTCACATAGATATTCAGCAATCATTTGTTAAATAAAAATTATTCTCTGGACTTCAAAAATATAATATGTGATTTGCCTACTAAACATACATTGTGCCTCATGGTTATATGTAAAATGTTGTACACTCAAAAGTGCTCAAATTAGCACTTGAGCAATACAATTATATATTGGTGAAGAATGGGGGCCTATTTTTTGCAATATCCTTACAAAGGGTGTGAATCACATTGTGTTCCCTTCCTAGCATCCTCAGAAGGTAAGCTAAAACTGTTTTAAGAACATTTGATTTGCATTTCTGAAAAAGGAACAATCAATCACATATTCAATCTAACAATACTTCCATGCACCTGCCAACAAACGAATACATTCATTAAGCCTATAGAGGAATGTATGCATGTGGAAACAATACTGCATTCACATCACTAGAAAAAGAAAGATTATTTTATGTACAAAATGTGCCCACAAGCATTAGTACTGAATACTAATGACAGATCAGTACCCTGAAGTGACTGAATATATGCCAAAGTGTGCTTGCTATTTCAATCATTTTAAATAAATTTAACAAATACAAGTGTTTCATAATTCATCTTTCACTCAGAGAGGTGGTCTGCATAGTTTCCGAGGGATTCATTTAGGACTGGTCTTTCTCTGCTATACTTTGTACATAGGCCTGGCTTATTGTGAATTTTCATGGTTAATTTTATTTTATATGAATGCTAGTATTATAAACTTTCATTTCAATGTATTATTTTTGGCCCGAGCATGACCTTTGGTTCTACATTTACTTCCCATTTCTCAACAATCAACATCCCTTGTTTTATTGCAACAGAGCAAACATTTTAGTGACTTTGGAAAAGTGTGGTAAATGAAACTCATTGTTTCTATGTAATTGGAACCGTAAAGTGAGAGTGATTTTCAAAGCATTTAAATGTCCCTTGGTCACATATGAATATAAATATGAAAAGATATAGGCCTGAGATAAAAGTACATCCCATCTTATCCCAGATCTGTTACTATATGAACAGAAAGAATTTGTGAGGACTTCAAGTTACCCTTGATTGTATCCTAATAACCAGTTATGCAATTGACAGCATTTTCAGTACTCTTGGCCCATGTTCCCAAAACAAAAGATGGGTATGGAAACTTCAAGCATCTTCTTTACAAATATTTATGTATAATAATTGAATTACTTTCAGCTCTTGGTTACAGAATTTATTCTGGATAACAGCTGAAATAATGCTGCTTTTAATTTCCAGCTATAAGGAATTTACAGAAAAGAGGGAAGGAGACAAAGGCAAGAGAGAGGAGAGAATTTTATTAGGATAGATCAAAAAATAAAATTAATAAGTAAAATAAAAATTATATATTTAGATTGAAATAGAAATTTCATCATGGTCAAGAATAATAAATGGATCCAATGATGTAATAGTTGACTAAATCTCTACAGTGTTAGGCATTTGCATATACATCAGACAAAATCCTAAATGATGGATGGAAGATATAAAATTTTATCAAATGGAAAAAAATTAATATTCTATGAAGTTGTATTTCCAAATTTTATGACTCAAAGAATTGGTGTTAATTTACTATATGTACCTTGTGCACATGAATTCAAATTATAGCAGGAACTTTAATAATCATGACTACACAGATGAGAGTAAAATCTATCAATTTCTCTAATAGCCACATTGGAATTCAAACTTCTTCCTCTGAAGAGTACTCAATTAAACAAATTTTCATGTATTAATTCACAAGTATTCTTTAAGCATTTGAAATAAGCCTGTCACTGTGATAAGTGATAGGAATCTAATTAATGAATAGAGAAGAAAGTCCCTTATTGCCCACATTCTTTCACTGGGAGAACAGGACTGTAAATAAAATTTTTCAAAAAAACATGTTTAACATGTGCGTTCACCTGAGCACGGTGGTTATAGCAGTCTAAAACTGGGGAAAGATTGGAAAAAAAATATTCAACGCAAAGCCACATCTCTACAAGTTGAAATAGAGAAAGACAAATATAAGGAAAAAAATATTGAAAAATGAATGAATGAATAGGAATGAATACAAACTATTTTGCAGCCCCAGTTGCAAATTTTTTAGCCTGGCGTATGCCCTTTGAAACATTTCAAGATGTCTCTGAAACATTTGTTTTATTCCTGTTTTGTTATTGGCATATGACTGCAAATCTACCTTTGCTGTTTTGATTAATAATTTTGTGAATAAAAATTAGAACAGTTTCCTAACTCCAAAAATAAATAATAAAATAAAATGTGCCAAGAGAAGTAATGGTAACAAAAATGGAGATGGTAAACAAAATTATGCATGTTGGTGGTTTTTGCTAACAAATCTCCAGAGCAAGAAAATGCATGACTCATAACAAATCAAAATGGAGTATATTATGTACTTTGCAGGGACAGGCATATTTTAGTCATAGAGGAAAACAAGGATAAAAGGTTCAGAAATACTAGAATATTTAAGAAAACATTTCGTTTTTTCCTTTTATAAATAATACATTAAAAATCATACTTATGCCTGAATTTTAATATTTAAGATTAGGTATATTTAAAATATATAGGACTAGGACCTCCCTGGTGGCGCAACAGTTGAGAGCTGGGTTGCAAAGGTGCCCGCAGCCTCTGCGGTGCCGGTTTGATACCCGGCTGCCGGGCGAGGGTCCCACATGGTGCACAGACCTCTCCTGCCGCCTTCTGCTCCCCTCAGCAGTGTACTTCGTCTGTCTGCCTGTTCTGCTCCCTGCTCTGGCTCTGGTGAATTCTGTCACCCTCCTGTGCTTCTGAATGTACCAGTGCTTGTATAAATAAATAAATAAATCTTTTAAAAATAAATAAATAAAATATATGGGATTATGGGTACTTTTTGGTGGGAAAACTACGGTGACTGCACTTGAGGGGAGAAAAAAAGATGTAAAATAATAGTAAATCATAATGATATAAATAAGTAAATAAGACATAGAGAGACTTCTAAGTTTTGTTAATATTGTACTTATCACTACTGGAATTACATGTTGTTTTCCATGACCCTTAATTACAGTTTTTTTGTGCAACTATATATATATATATATATATATGACACCACATTTTGTTTGTTTAGCTTTTAACATTGCAATTCAATACTGAATATTCAATACTGAAATTCAATATCCAACACTGAAAAAATTGTTCACAGTAAGAAATATCTTCTTTGCGTATGGAAAGCTGTTAAGTTTTGTTCTTATCTTTTATGATTATTCATACATGTACCTTTGTTTCTCTTTTCTCCTTGGAAGTCCTTGGAATTCAGTGAGATGATTTAAATGAAGATCTACATACTTCAGTTTTGAGAAATGTTTAAATCATTTCTTACATTATTGATAATCCATCAGTTTTTATCGACTTCTAACATTTCTTACATTTGAGCAATGATCCTAGGACTCTGTCCTTAAATTCACTGTTAATTTGCAATATTTTCTCTTTTCTCCAATCTGTGACATATGCACTCCCAGTGTTTGCTTTGGTATTGTGAATACTCTCATTGGGGCTATAATTAAGTCTCTTTGAAAATATGTTGTTTTTCTTTGAGTTCCATTATTGCTGCTTCAACACTATTCTTCTCTGCTAATTTCCAACTTGTTTTCTCAGCTCCCTAATTGGGTCTCTTTGCTCTTTATGTGCTCATAGATATTTCATTCTTCAGACTTCTTCAAAATCCATAGAATTCAGGTGCTTGGCACTTTTTTGGTCACTGACAGATTAGCTGCATAAGAGTGTATTTCTGTTTATAATCTTGGGGACACAGTAAGTTGTTCAATAAGGTTGTTCATCAGTTGTTCTGATGAGGTCTTGGAGGAAGCATCTATTTCTAGAATTCTCAATGCAAAGTTAGTTTTCATGCTATTATAAGCAAGGAAGCAAGTCAGTCCCCCAGGGATGTTTCCTGTCTTCTTCCTGAATTAAGACAGAAAGGCACTCCCACACCTTACCTTAAGTAAACAGCCCTTATCCATTGTATCTCTTTTACAGTGGTTCCTCAGTTATCACTTGGTGCCAGGAATAATGGACATTGATATCTACTTTGGGCTTCAAGATGTTGTGAAAACTCAACTTCCTCAGAAGTTCCTTCAAGCTGTAACTTATGGCCTTTATTTCTTGTCCTGATGCAAAAGGTAAGATGGAAGAACAAAAACTAAGAAACGTATTCAATTCAAACTTACAAATGTATTTTTCTCTAACAGTCAGGTATTTCATGTTTCAGTTTCTTTTTCTTTCCCCTTTGCTATTTGGCTGTGAGGTTTAGATAGTAGCATAGAATGAGTTCTGATAGGGAAGGGACATACTCATAGGTTGGCTATAATTGCTTAGATGGAGCGAATCTTTGCGTTATGTTTATTGCCTGAGAGGAATCAGTTGCTTTTAATCATAAGCAAATGGTCAAAGCTGAAGTCATCAGTTTCCTTTTTCTGAATTTTGTAAGAGAATTACTCACTAACATAAAAACAGCAACTGTTCTCAACTAAATTAATCTATCAATTTCAATGTGCAATAATGATAATACATGAAACTCAATAAAAATCTAATATTCTTTATTTCCTATTGATGCAAGTCTGTATTATGAACTCAAATTTTTTGCTTTTTTAACTCCTTGGTTACTATTATTAGAATCCCTTTTGGTTGCCTGATTCAACAATAAGAATTTATGCAGGAAGAGTCAATTACTTCATTTAGCCACAAGTTTTTAAGTGAGCATTGAGAGAAGAAATGTTGCTGTTTTTTCTTAAAGATTTATTTATTCATGCATACAAGGACTGGGGTACAGGCCAGATGAGCAGGAGGGTGAGAGGATTCACCAGAGACAGAGCGGGGAACAGAACAGTGGGTGAGACAGGAGAGGTCTGCTGCACCATTTGGGAATCCCCTTGGCCGCCCGGGATCGAACCCACGTTGCAGAGGCTGCAGACAGCTTCACAGAGCTGCACTCAACTGCCTGCGCCACCAGGGTAAGCCCAAGAAATGTTGATTTTTATGTCGTTTTTTGCTGAATGTTGAAAATCAAGTAATTGACAATAAAAGGTCTTTTCAACCAAAGATTAATTTTAATCAGTAATCACATATAGGCCAAACATGCACTTCTGTATACTAGAATCTTTCTATAATGTTGTGCCACTTACATATGATATAGATAAATTTATAATATTACAAACCTAAAAAGAATAACATAGGGTAATTTATGATGTGGAAGTTAATCCTACTCTCTAATATCAAATTTATAAAAGGTGCTATTTGCAAAGATTATGTTACATAGTATATATTGTGAAATATTTGGTATATTTGATTCATGATCTAATAATATTAACAGATACATATTTAAGTGTACAAATTTCATTTCTTCATAACAAGGTGAATACTATAAAATGATGGGTAACTGCTTGATGTAATATCATAAATGTGAAACTATCATTTTTAAACATTGAATCACATATTAAATATTTGGTGAGGGTTTGAGAATTGTGGTATTGATATATGTAAAATGTTCGCACCAACTTTTAACCAATACCCTAACACTCTGTTCTTATACATATGCTTAAGAGAATTTTTGTTTATGTGATTAAGTCTAGAGAAGAAAAAATGCCCCAATACACAAAATAAAATTCTGCAAAATAACTGAGGACATTTAATACAAAGAAGCAAATTTAATTCATACTTGTAGGCTTTGGGCTAATGGGCCCACTTTATACCAGTGAGCATGCATGCGAGACACGGTGTTAAGTTCTAAAGTCCAAAACTGCTGCCACTATTTTACCAGCAAAGTTGGAAAATCAAAGCTACTTAATGGCCACCAAGACAAATCAGAGAGTAAATTCAACCTATTGGAGGATGGAATGAGTATGGAGGAAAATGTTTTTAGAAAAGTATATTGATTTATTGGTTGGAACAAACTTTACCTGAGCCTAACTCTTTTCGAGGCTTTCTTTTATTCAACATAGTTTTTTTTATCTTATTATAAACCAGATTGGCTTGTGTTTTCCCACAGTTTCATCATAGGATCTCAACTGATTTAGTTGTCATATAATTAGATTACTTATTCAGGGAATACATTCCTAAATATTTATAAAGTTGCTTGCTAAGTGTCATGCAGAATAGAAATAACATAAAGACAGAGGCTTCCATTCATATAACAACTTGTGCTATCTAAATCAGGAAGGGTGGGAAAATAAACTCACTGAAATATTTATCAAATTCCAAGTCTTATTAAGGAGTTATTAATATTTGTCATTATAAAGCTAATCAGTACCAATACCAATAATACTAGTAGTAAAATATAAGCTAATATATATGAGCCGCTATTTTTTGACAGTCACTTTTCCAAGAATTTAATATGTAGTGTGTTCATTTCCGAGAATGGAAGATGTCACTATTAAAATCTATCTACAGCAAAAACTATACTTCCAAACTACTGACAATAATGTAAACCAACAGTACTTCGATAAAAATATTATGCTATAAAATTATTCTATACCAGGAAATTAGTATAAACTGAGACTGCCAGGACATGTTTGTAATCAGTATCCAATATATATGTAATTGTTATTTAATATAATACTTATAAGATTGTTAAGAGAGGGGTGCTGTTTTTATCCTCAGTTTATAGAGAAAAACTGAGACAGAGGCAGGTAATTTATTGTAGCTCTGTTGTATCTGACAATTAACTTTTTTTATTATAATGTGTCTAACATTAAGCTTTTGATTCACTTCAAAGCCATCCATTTTGAATAAATACATTGCCAGCTTCACAACTAGGTAAAGTCAGGCTGCTCCACCAGGAAGTTCCCCTTTCTGAAAATTCTGGGTCACCTGACAGCTGAAATGTCTCTTCCTTCCTGTGGTTTAATTCCTGTTCTTATGGTTTAAATTCACCAATAAACAGGAAACTTCCAAAACCCTACATTCTCCATCCTTGACCCAAATAAGGCAGAATCTCAATTCTTCCTCCCTTGTTATCTTTCTCCCATCACCCCAATCTCACTGTGTGACCCCAGATATGCCATGTTCCGTCTGGACTAATAACTAATAAACCTTCTTTCTTCACTTGCTCCAATGCTTCTTGCCATCCTAATAAGAACCATAAGTGCCTGCCCAGGTACAACAGGAGTACAGGTCCAGTAAATACCGGAGGGAGGAGGGGCTCCCACAAGTAGTATGGTTCCAGATGAGCATCTTCAGGGTAATAACCATTTCCATTGACAGGATGGCATCCCACAAAACAATGTCATTTGTCTTTTAAGTGGCACAGCCAGCATTTGAACATAGATAAACTTACTGATTCCATAAACAGGGCTTTTAACCACTTAAATTGCTGACTATGCAAGGAGACATACATGCCAAACATAAAGTGAAGAAGGTAACAGCACATCTGTAACATTTCTTACTGAAAATTTGAGGAGAAATTCACCTATAGAATCTCTTGCTTTGAGCACATGAAAAGATATTTAATTATATATATATATATATATATATATATATATATATTTTTTTTTGCCTAGAAGAACTAAGGTATAGGCCAGAGATGCAGGGGTAAAGAAGGGAGTGAGAGGAGTCACCAGAGACAGAGTAGGGAGAAGAACAGGCCAGTCCACTGAAATACACTGCTCAGGGGAGCAGCAGGCAAGACAGGAGAGGTCTGCTGTGCCATGTGGGTCAGCTCCCTGGCCAGGATGGAACTAAGGCCATAGCAGTGATAGCCCTAAGACTTAACCCCTAAGCCACCAGGGAAGCCCTACTTATATACTCTTATGGCTGAAATGCATGATATTTCCTGCCTTAGAATGCAGAAACAGCTATATCTTTGTTAGGTAGGCGATTTTTCCTTCCTTAGTACAGTTCCTCAAGGGAAAACAGACTTTAGTGATGGGGTGAACATCTATGTACTTTGGACAAAGAAAAAAATCAGAAAAGGATTTTAAAAATTGAAAAACTCGGGCCTCCCCGGTGGCGCAGCAGTTGAGTGCTGGGTTGCGAAGCTGCCCGCGGCCTCTGCGGCGCCGGTTCGATCCCCCAGCCACCGGAGGAGGGTCCCACATGGCGCGCAGACCTCTCCTGCCGCCCGCTGCTCCCCTCAGCAGTGTACCTCGGTCCCTCTGCCTGCTCTGCTCCCCGCTCTGGCTCTGGTGAATTCTCTCACCCTCCCGCGCTTCTGACTGTACCCAGTGCATGTATAAACAAACAAACAAACAAATAAATAAATAAATAAAAACATGCCTCTATATAAAAAAAAAATTTAAATCAATCACCAAAAAATGTTTTATATATTACCCAAATCAAAACACCTTAACATTAGGAAAATACTACAGAAGCTCATCAGTTCCTCAACTACTGATTAGCATTCTTGTAGTCATCAATACAGAGTAAAGCTATGCCATAAAATCAACCCTGAAATCTCAGTAAACAAAAGTTTACTTCTGGAGCATATGAGGGTTAAGAGACTCTTTTACTGCTTCCCCCACAGTGCTGCAAACCAGCTCCAAGTCTATAGAAACTGCCCCAACTCAAAACACTTCTTTGAAATCAAAAAGGAAGAGTATCCTGGGCCTCCATGGTGGTGCAGCTGGTTGAGCACAGCACTGTGAAGCTCTCCACAGCCTCTGTAGCACGGGTTTGATTCCCGGCCAGCCAGGGAGAAACCCACATGGCGCAGCAGACCTCTCCTGTCTCACCCACTGCTCCCTCAGCAGTGTCTCTGGTTCTTCTCCCCACTCTGTCTCTGGTGAATTTCGCTCACCCTCTTGCGCCTCTGACCTGTACCCCAGTTCTTGTATAAATGAATAAAATCTTAAAAAAAAAAAAGGAAGAGTATATTGAAAACTTCCATCAAATATTGACTGGAAAACACTAGATCACACTGTCCCAATCTAACATGAACTAGACTAGAAAAAGTCTTTCTGTGTTTACCTGGGATCATGAGCCAGAAAATGCACAGATTTTTCTACAGTTGCTATGTTTAAGAAATGGATGTCCTGATTTACTATGACATACAATATTTCAATCGTTTGATTCTGTGACAATTTACTTAACATGAAGTTTTGATCTAACCAAGGTATCTTCTATAGCCAAAAAAACTAAATATAGAGTGATTTCAACACTGTTACCTGAAAGGTATTATTAATTCTGACTACAGAGTGTGACAGAGTGTATAAACAGAATGTTTCTTCATAAGTGAACATTTCATGGCATTTAAAATACTCATTAAGGATTTTTGTACTAACTATAAATTTCAGAGTTCCTAAAAGTCTATGCAATTATTCTTGCTACCCATCAGCAATTTGTATACATCAGATATTAAACCCAGCCTAAGCATATTGCATTTTTATAGTTTTCAGCAGCTGAATTGTCCTCATCAAATTAATCTTCCTAAGCATTTTCATATTAGATCATCCTATGTAGATATGCAGACAGTTTCTTCAGCTATCAGACTTTTCACATTATTTATAAAAACTATAATAGGCTTACATTCTGTAAAAAAATTTTTTTTCTAAAAGAGCATGTCTTTCTTTGACCACCAAATAGGTTTTTTTCTTTAAAAAATAAATGGCTTTCCCTATAACAAAATATGGTCATATTTATTATAGAAAACACAGACAAAGAGAAGAAAATGATCATTATCTGGGATGTCTCACACCAAAATACCCATTATTATCAGTTTGTTTATAATCCTACCAATCACATATGCAGATACATATGTGATACACACAACAATTTTTGTTTCTGAAAAAAATTATATTAATATATCTGCAAATGCCCCTTTTCAAAATCTTAGCTTTTAAGACAATAAAACATCCATTGAAAAATTTGAAAGGAGAATACAAAGAGTATAAAATGTAAACAATCATTCAAACAGACAACACTCAATGCAACATTTTCAGGTAATGTTCTTTAAAAATAATGTAACATGGGGAAATTTAAAGTTAATTGTGCAATTTGTAAATGAGGCTGGAGGAAAAAG